AGGGAAGCTTACACCCATACCCATCTTTTAATATTAAAGGTTTATTTCATATTTCTAAGCTTTGCACAATCAAAACTCAAATATTTTCTCAAACCGAAACATGTTCAAGAAGTTCATGAAAATCTCAGATTCTCAGTAAGTCCAGTCCCTGTGGAAACGATCTTGGTACTATACCACTTTATTACTTGAAGCGATCAGAGTGTCGGCGTGCACTTGCACCGCCACTTTGGGGATTTTGTGCCCACTGTGTGCATACTTACGATCACAACGCATCAGTACACCTTTCATTGATATGCCACCCTTATCTCATGGTACATCTCTTCTTGATATGTCACCCTTGTTTTCTCATCAAATGTAATCAAATCTTAGATTTGATTATTTTGCCAAGGCCTCAAAACAGTTTCATCTTAGAAACTCTATATCAAGAACTTTCACCGTTCTAAACCTAATTTCAATGTCATCTTAAAATCAACTCTATTCTAAAATAGTTTATCTTTCTCAATAGTTTTGAAAGAAACAGTACAAGAAGTGAGTGCTAATGTTTTGTAAAACCATTTGTAAATAAATAAATTATCTAGAGAAGAAAAAGATAATAAAATGCCAATAAAACAATAAAACAACACAAGAAGCAAATGCTGCTTTGATACCACTTGTTGGTGGATCTACAAGAGTTATAATAATCAGTTTGTAGAAGGGGGGGGGATGAATACAAACACAGAACTTTCACAGTTCTAAACGTAAACCTAATTTCAATGTCATCTTAAAATCAACTCTATTCTAAAAATAGTTTATCTTTCTCAATAGTTTTGAAAGAAACAGTACAAGAAGTGAGTGCTAGTGTTTTGTAAAATCATTTGTAAAGAAATAAATTATCTAGAGAAGAAAAATATAATAAAATGCCAATAAAACAATAAAACAACACAAGAAGCAAATGCTGCTTTGATACCACTTGTTGGTGGATCTACAAGAGTTATAAAAATCAGTTTGTAGAAGGGGGGGATTAATACAAACACAGAAACTTTCACTTTTAAAAATTAAATATTGAAAAAGAAGATCAAAACAAATTTTACAGATTGTTTGTGGAAGAACTAAGGTAAAGAAACCTATCAAAACAATTTAAGGTACACACTATTACACTTAGCAAAGAGAAAAGATTTGCTGTAAGAATTGAAGACTTATGTAAATGCTCTTCACTTGTTCAAAGTGGTTCTTTCTCTTTAGAGAGAGAGTAGTGAGAGAAGTAACTTTTTAGGTAAGTTTCTTAGAGAGGAAGAGTGATAACTGAAACAAGAGCACTAAGCTATTTATACCCATTGCATTAAATGCAATTCAGAAGGTACAAAACACGTGTCAAGCTTTTGTTCATGAGCAGTCATCTTTTCATAAAATAGGTAAGCATAATAGAGTCAACTGAGTGGCTCCATACTGTACTATACTCTAGAAAAATGTATGAGTTTGTCCTTAGTGTGTGGGAGAACAAGACAAAAACAATCGTGCATGGTAAGCTTCGTTTAGTCACTGAATGCTGGGATGACGTTGAATGTCTGTTCAGCATTCGTTGAAAGTTGTGCAGTCTTCACACATATATAAACGAACTTGTAATCACTGAGTGCCGCTTCAGATCATGGACGCGTTGGTCTCTAATCTTCAGTTTCTGTCTTCGACATTGCTGAAGAATCTTTGGTGTGAGTTTGTCTTCTTGAAGTATATTAGTTTCTGAAGGAGTTACAATACGTGTTCAACGATCACTGAACAGACTCAGTGATGATAGCTGAAACTGAATAAACAGAAACACTTATACATCGATAGGTAAAAAGGATTATCATCAAATCAATGAGAGATGATCAACATACAAAAACACTAAATATGATAAAACATGGTTTTAAAACACACTTGAATACCACAATAAGTTCTATTTAAACGTAAATTTATTCCAACAAGAAAGTACTATGCATAACTAAATATGGATGATTTTAAAACTTAATCGCTACATATACCAAGTAGTAATCTATTAGATATTTGATATCAATTATAATTTGCAGTTTCAATTGCTATTAATAAGCATTTTTGTGCTAAAAGGGAAATACCTCGAATCCCCTTCTCCTCGATCCAACACTGGACGGTATATCAAAATCAAAAGAATACCAACATCCAGGCAACTACATCAAAAATGATATTAATAAGGTAAAATGCAGCGAAACCAACAACAATGAATTAAAAGCAGAGTATGATAACATTATATGTAGAAACACTACCTGAAGACTGAATTAAAAACAGTGTATGTCAAGGATGGTCTACCAAAGTTGCTATCCAAAGCTATAATGTGAATATGTCTACAAAGTTTCAATTCTAGTATGTACATGTCCACATGCAATCAAAAGTAACCAATTAGGTTTTCTTTAATTCCTTTGCTCCGGTAATCATAATATGAGAGAAGCTTATCTTTGATACCTTTTACTCTCCATAGCTAAATAACCAATTTGGTTGGAATAGGTCAAATTCAAACCCCTTTGAAGCATCTCCTCAAACAACTTTCGTGCCATTTTTGCTTATTTGAATAGCAAGTGAAGATACATAGGAAGAAGTTAGAATTTAAGTAGATGTACAGCAAATCTAAAAGAAGCAAATGCAAGATGGCAAAAATTCATCAAAATTATATCAGAAGATCTAAACACAAACAAACAAACTATTTAATAATTACCTCGATGGAGGTGGAGATGCTTGAAATTGAAGTTGAAGTAGAAGAAACTGTTGGCAAGTATTTTGAAGAACAATGAAGGGAACAATCCTAAGAATGGTATAGAGAGAATAGAATCGTTGCTTTGAATCGATAATGGTACATGCTCGATACAGAAGGTTGAAGGTTTCGATATGGAAGGTTATCTTGGGAGCATGAATCGTTGTCTTGGAGAATGAGTAGTTGTCTTGGTAGTAGGAATCGATTTTTTGGAAGCAGAAATCACCAGCAAGATTTAAGTTGAAGTGTTGAGTTGTACATCAAACTTATAATGTTGTTTTTAAGACTTTTAAGACTCTATGCATTAATAAGTAGTACTTTATGCATTAAACATTGTTTTTTAAGACTTTTATCAAATCTGGTTTATAAGGTAGTATAAATAATCATTGAATCATAACATAATACTTAATTATTGTTTTTATAAAAACTCGTAGTATCAAAACCAAAATTAATTACTTTGTTATTAAGTATAAATTAAATTATAATAAAAAAATGAATTAAAGAAATTATAAAAAAAACGAGAACTTTTAAATAGTTAATTTCATATTAATATCTATATATTTTTTCAAAAAATTTAAGATATCTTCAAGTTTATATATTATTCAAAAATAAAAACGTTATCTTCTTTTCAAACCACATAAAACCGTTCTATAATATCGACAGAAACAAAGAATAAGATAAAACATTAAAATCGAGATATATCTCGCTATATTATACGGGTATCTTTCTAGTAAGTAAATAATATTGATACTTAAATTAAATACATTCAAGAAAATAAGCTATAAATAATATTTATTAAATTGTAAAAGAATTACAAAATATCAAATAAAGTTAAATGATATTGTATTAAAATAACATTAATGTAATAAATTTTTATTAAACAAAAAACCCAATAAGCAGTTAACAAGGGAACAAATTAAATGCTCATTTAATTAATTAATTTTTTTTAGCTAAAATAACTATTTTATACATCTAAATTGGTAATCTAAACATTTTTCTCTAGGGTTAATTCAAATATCACTACTTTTTCAATACATTGCAGACTTAGCTAAAAGACAAGAAAAATCAAATTTAACTAGTTTACCATCGTAATTCCGGAATCAACCATGACAAATAGCGGACTTGATCGTCAAAATTACAAATTCGTGTTGAATTTGATATTTTTTGCCTTTTAAATAGGCCCGTAATATTGTGGACCCATATGTTACAAAAATAATGACATTTAGATCAATCATATTTATTTATTTATTTTTATTTTTCTTTACAACCAAAAAACATAAAAACTAAAAACAAAAAATCATATAATTATTTAATTTAAATAATTGCATACAAATTACAACGCAATTCTCATATAAGGGTGTTTAGAATTGCTTATTTTAGGTGCCTTTTGACTTATTTCAGTCTGGCACCGGCGATAAGCTAAATGCTAGTGTTTGTATGAGGAAAAATAAAACTGCTTATACCGGTGCCAAACCGGCAATAAGCAGTTTTTGATAAGTTAATTTTTCCTGACTTATGAAAAACTGCTTATTACCAGTCTACCATTTTAACTCCGTTTTATTAATGTTTGTTAATTATTAATCTTATTGATATAAATTTTTGTCAAAAAAATATTATAAATGATGAAAAATAAATTTTTACATGTTAAAAAATCAAATAAGTTAATAAACAATCTCAAACACTCCCATAAGTCAATAATATAAAAGACTGTATTTTTTGGTCATTTTACATATATAAGCAAAATTTGCCAAACACTAAAAAATAACTTATCAGCTTATTGCTTTTTGGTACCGCTGTAAGCTAATCCAAACACTTTTTACAAAAACTCCGGTTTAATACCACATAAGTTAATAAGCATTTTTATAAAAAAAAACATAAGTTATTTTAAATAAGCAATCTCAAACACCCCTAAATATCTGTTATTCACGTCCATATATTTAGTTATTTCAATCAAAAATTAAATATCTATAAATTCAATTTTTTTTCAATTCAATTTATATCAACGATAAAAATATAATCAAAAAGTATTCTATACATCAAATCATGAATGATATCTTTTCTTCTAACATGAATTTATAATATTTACTTATAAAGAAGATGATAGAAAGCTTATCAAAATTTCTGATGGACATAGCAATGAGTAAGCAATAACGAAGTAGCGATGCAATTTTGCAACAAGTTGTTCAACAGTGGCTGACAACAAACGGCAGCGAAAAAAGGTTTTGAGTTTTACGTGCTGATAACCTGTTATAGGAAAACGAAATTGAACAACGGTAAATAAAGAAAATGAATATGTAATTCTCATTTATCACAAATAGATAATTATGAGAGATATCAATTCTAATCTATCTGTGATATGTTTATCTCTATCTATATTCTCATATTCTTTAGACAATGACACATTTATCCTACAACAAAAACTACAAAAATTAAAATGATAAATAATAAATTATTTCGTTCATAAATCTAAATTAAATTATAATTAAAAAATTAAATTAAAAAAATTACACAAAAAACAAGAACTTTTAAATAGTTAATTTAAGGGCAAATTGCATGAAAAAGTAACGTACTTTAACTTGATTCCTATTTTGGGTAACGTACTTTCAAAACTTTCATTTTGGTACCTATTGATAGAGCAAATTGCATGAAAAAGTAACGTACTTTAACTTGATTCCTATTTTGGGTAACGTACTTTCAAAACTTTCATTTTGGTACCTAAAATGTAAAGTTTTAAACACTTAAGTACCCGGGTAACTGGTTGAAATATTAACCGATTATCATGCTGATATGGCGAGTGATGTGGTATCAAACTCGRTATTATTTGCTGACGTGGTCAGTGACGTGGATTTTTTAAAATCTAAAATTAGTATTTTTTTAGTCTAAAATTAGTCTTTCCGGGTTAYCCGGGTACTTAAATGTTTACAACTTTACATCTTAGGTACCAAAATGAAAGTTTTGAAAGTACGTTACCCAAAATAGGAATCAAGTTAAAGTACGTTACTTTTTCATGCAATTTGCTCTATCAATAGGTACCAAAATGAAAGTTTTGAAAGTACGTTACCCAAAATAGGAATCAAGTTAAAGTACGTTACTTTTTCATGCAATTTGCCCTTAATTTAATAGTAATATTGATATATTTATTTTTGAAATTTGATGATATCTTCAAATTTACAAACCATACTATAATATTTATCAAAATGAAATAAAACAAAACATTAAAATCGAGATATATCCCACTTTATAGTTTAAATTAATGACCAAACCAAAATACATTACATTCACTTACAATTTCCCTTTTTATTTCAGAACTTAGACAAGAGAGGCTTAAAACGATAATAGGGGGGTGCGATAGCAATAAGGCTAAACCATAAGGGTACAAATTGTAATATTTTACCAAGTTAACCTAAGAATCGACAAAGTGTTTCTCGAACAGAATTTGAGCTTTCGACCTCAATCCGATTAGGGTTTTGGAAAGCGAAGAGAACCATCTCTCTCCCGTCTGCACGCATAGTCTGTGTGAAATTTGTAAGTTCTTCGGCTCTCTGCTCTACAAGCAGGTTAAGATCTTCTGATTCATCGTTCTTTCCTAATTTTCCCTAATTGTTAAACCTTATTCTTGATCTAGTATCTGCAGTTGAGCCGGTTTCTATCGGCTGGTTTTCGTCCCTTGATAGTGTTACAGCTTTTCTGTTGCTCAATGCACATGAAATTTATTTTGTCTGCACTTTGTTTCATATCTTTAACGTATATAATCACGCGATTCATCATTCTAAGCCAATTTGTTTTGAGCTCGAACCTGTTGATTTATTATGGCATCAGAGCCCGCGATTCGTAAGTCACTTAGGCTCAAGAGTTTCCTGTGACACGGCTGTTATCAATTGATGAATTATATTCTTAATAAATATGATAATTGAACACGTTTCTCCGAACCCAATTGGTTTTAAGTTGAAACCTTGGCGACTTAGTGACTGTAATTGGTAGGCTGCTTTTGGTGAGTATGTGATTAGGCTGGTTAAACAATATTGATGTGATAGTTCAGGAGGCAAATTCTCAAACCAAAAATGGAGAAATTTGTGATGGTATTTGTTTTGCATTGTATTGGGGTGTAATTTATGATGTAGTTTGGGATTTCTTGATTCTGGAGTATTTCCTTGGTCATTGTGGTGATTGTGCTACTACTGATATTGGTTGATGGAAGGGAACCAGGTGGTGTTTGCTTGTGCATAGAGCTATCTAAGATTTGCAAGTTAAGGTTTTTAGGTCGTGAACCTTGTATAGGCTATATTAATAAACGGGATTCCAGGGTCTACCATAAACGTTTGTGCAAATATTGGCTGATGGATATATGGCATAAACATAAACATCATCATCGAGGAAAGGAACAGGTCATGTGTTTGCACTTTGGTTCCTTGTGCCTTATCTTTAATATATTACTTGTTTCTGCAAGTGCTTTGTATTGTTCATTTTTAACTTTAGATCCAGATTTCTTTTATAGTGTGTACAAGGAGGTTCTCCGGGATATTGACTGGGGCCTGATGTATTATATATAAACTCTGAGCTAGATGTTCAACCAGCAATCTTTCTATATATTTTGTATGCTTCCATTTACACTGGACTGTGATCTATTTTACCTAAAACAATTTCCTCACACCAAAGTTCTTTTTATGGAAAAACAATGCAATTAACTTTAGTTAGGTTGATAAATCACCAGTAAAACATAGTAAACAGTAAAGCATATCCATATCTCAACATCATCGTTCAACTTCTTTAAGTATCCACTTTCGTGTCTTTCTGTTCTCATTGCATTTTCACATTCATGTATTGAGTGTTTCTTTGTTTTTTTGGATGTATTTCCTTCTTTATAATAATTAAAGCTCGGCTCCTTACGAATCATACTTTTATGTTTGCGACTGCGTATTTACATGTCTATAAGTGTCTCTGGTTTTTACTAATCGTATAGAGGTATTTGTCATAATTAATGCATGTATTGGATCTTTAACAAAACATATTTTGTTGGATATGCTAAATTTTAATCTAGTATGATGTTAGATCTTTTTTCATTTCTTTCTAGGAAAAGCATAATATTTGCACTTTCTCAAGAGGGTTTTAAAATTTTCTTTAAACCTGAATCATATAGACATATAGTTTAACCTTTAATATTTAAAATTGTATATGCTTTTTCTTTAAGTTGTTGATTTGTTTGTCTGTTTGTTGTATACTGATGCTTTTCATTTCTTTTTTCAGCTGAACTATGATTGAACAGGACGAGTATCGTTGTTTTATTGGGAATCTTTCATGGTCAACATCTGACAGAGACTTGAAAGAAGCCTTTAAAAAATTTGACCATCTTGTAGATGCAAAGGTATTTGTCAATCGGAGATGTGCCTTGTATTTGTGTTGACAAATGGTAAACTCTTTCCATTTGTAGATTGACATGGTCTATGCATCCTTGGGTTATATATGTATATCTTTATCCTGCACAAGTTTTCACAAGAATTATGTTTGGTTGCACAACACCTTTCTGAGATTTATTATCACTCTTTATGCTTTCTGAGATTTATTATCACTCTTTATGTCTGCATTATCTTCAACCAAGAGGGATCATTTAAATTCATCTTGAAAGCATAAAGAATTGTGAAATATTCTTCTCTCAATTAGAAGCGTCTTTGCTTTTTTACGTTCTTTTGTATTTTGCTTTATTCTGCAAGCAAGTTATTTAGTCTTAATCCTCTTAGTTCTCAAAAAGTAGGCTTTGATAAAAGAATTAGTCACCAGTTGGTGCTGCTTGACCATATGAAGATGCTTATTAACACTAATGAGTTTACTTTTTTAAAGCCAAATTTAAACTTGAATGAGTCAAATGTAGAACTATTGTCCAACACTGGTTCGCCTCCCATTTCAGGTTGTGGTTGACAGATCATCTGGGCGATCACGTGGGTTCGGGTTTGTTACTTTTGATGATGAAAAAGCTATGGAAGATGCAATTGAAGCAATGAATGGGATAGATTTAGATGGACGTCCTATCTCAGTAGATAAAGCTCAACCAAATCAAGGAGGTGGCAGAGACCGTGACAGCGGGCGGGACAGGGATAGGGACAGAGACAGGGGTAGGGATCGGGGTCGAGACCGTGATTACGGAGGTGGTGGGAGAGGATCAGGTGGTGGTGGTGGTGGTGATTGCTTCAAATGTGGGAAGCCTGGCCATTTTGCTCGAGAATGCCCATCTGGAGAGGGATCAAGAGGAGGGAGCAGGTATGGTGGCAGAGATGACAGATACGGCAGTCGCCATGGTCCGGATCGCAGTGGCGATCGCTCAAGTGGACGGAACAGGGAGTCTGGCAGTCGTGGAGGCTCAGGAAGCGATAGACATAATCGTGATCGTTCTGGTCCCTATGAACGCCCTTGATGCTTGTGAGGTATTACTTCAGTTTCTTTTAATAATATGCCGGATATATTTTTTTAGGAGGTTTTCTCGTTCTGACCCTTGATCGCCACCAAAAGGTTCAATAAATAAGTAGAGGTCAGGCCTGCATACGTCATAACTCCTGTCCCCTGAAAAAACCCCACCTCCGTCTTTGGGGTAGTAGTTAGGTATGCATACATCATTACTCCCCCAACCCCACCTCCGTCTTTGGGGTAGTAGTTAAGTCTGCATACATCATTACCCCCCCCAACCCTCCGGATCTTAGGGTGCTATATATTCGACCCGTTTGGTTAGGTTAGCAAATTTTCACATAAACAACTGCTCTAACTCTTTGTGGTAGTGGAGGTCTGCATACATCATTAACCCCCACCCCACTTCCTGGTTTGGTTAACAAATATTTTTACAGAAACGGCTGCTCTACTCTTTTGGGTAGAGGACAGGTCTACATGATTACCCCCACCCCAAAACACCCTACCTCCGGGTGGGACTTAATGAGCTTGTTTTTGTTTAATAAACAAATATCTTGATGGTGGCTCATATTTCAGCTATGGTGGTGAAGCAGGATCTAGGTACACGAGGATTGTATCACTACATGCCGAATCTGCAGGATTTTACGGGATCACACTTTCTCCCATTTTGAATTGCATCAAACTGGCAACTGCCATATCTTCTTTTTCCCTGATTTTAGTATCCATTTCTGTTTTGAACAAATTTTCATCGAGTGTTGAATGGATCTTTTTTAGCGTATTAAAGATGTAATTGCTGCTTGAATTTGAGAATGGTTCTTCAGTTTTCGGTTTTATTGAGCCGAGTTCTTGCACTTTCTGGTGCTCAAAAAACTGACAAACCTGTCCAACTCGCACGATATGAGTTGGGTTGGATTGAAAATTTTCAAAGTTCAAACCCCTAATTTTCAAAGGCCTTCAACCCAACCCGTGTGGAGCCCTTCAATCATTGGGCTGATTTTCAGTTCTATCTTTTTTATCTCAGTTTGGTTCCAACCTGATGCGTGTTTGAATACTTGCTGAATATTTCAAATAAAGTAAAAAAAACTGTAGTTATTTATAAAAAAATAAAAAAGATTAATTGAAATTCGGAAAACTTTGATGTAGGTATATATATGTATATGTTATATCGAGGGAGGTTTCGGGAAAACCTTGATAAAAATGAAAACCTAAGGAGCGTCGTAGTAACTATTTATCTGGATATTATGTACATGTGTACATAAATAATTGATGTTGTTTCTTGGTTTTTATGTATGTATACATGTTATGCACATATGTATATCTGGCTAATTGTTTTTAAATTATTTGCATGTAGAAGTACAAACTGTTTAGAAGAGCAGTTACTAGGATATTTTTTAATTTTTTACAGTTTTTCCTTGAATATATATATTTTATGCCATTCTACCAAAGATAGGAAAAAAAGCACATTTTCTACTACAGAAATAAAAGTCAAACAAAATAAAATGGATTACCTTTTTTAGTAATTGTTTATGGGTATTGTTAGCGTTCAATTTTAAAGAAATTTAAAGATTTATTTAGCAATCAGGGGAGTTTTGTTTAGGGGTTAAATCAAATAAGAACCATATATATATATTACAAACCCGTAAAAATTGATATAAAAATATTTTTTTACATGATATTTTTTTATCAAATGCTAGATTTTAAAATACTGTTTTACATATATTTGTTTTATTATATGATAGTTTCACATGTATTTGTTTAACCATATGAATAGTTTTTACGTGTATTTTTTATTGCACATAACCTATTTCTTTTCCACATGTAATCTTTTCAGAAGGTGAACACAAACATACGTAAAAAAATATCTTAAATCATAGGTTTTGAAAAAAAAAGATTATATAAAGTTATTTTTATATTGGTTCTCATGGATTTATAACATTTTTGTCGTTTTTATTTTATTATCGTCCCATTTGTTTAACCCTTATCTATTGTTATATCCTATTCCATTTGCTTATCAACCATTAGAATCGAACAAACTAGTTACTCAATTGGTCTTTAAATAGGTCCCGACCAGTCCTTATATAACTGGTGCCAGTCATGATCGATCAACAATAGAAAATTTCTTATCTTATTGTGACCAAACCAATCTATGTTTTCTTCTTCTAATTATTAACTATTTTTATCATAATATTGTTCACTAAGTTTTTAGATATGAACTATTTTCTGTGTTATACTATATTAAGGTATTAATCTTATGTTCTAACCATTAGTTTTCTACTTATAAAATTTTTATTGATAAAAAATAAATGTTCAAAAAGCGTCCCATGACCTGCATCACGGGGCGCCATGACGTACGTCATAGGACGCCATGACGTAAGATGCATCTCCACAGTTACGGAACAACCCATAGCATTTGGGTAAGGTGTGGCTCATGCCATGATGCGTTGTATCATGAGTTTTTCACAGAACGTGAACTTATTTTATACTTTTTTATATTTAATTTTTTAACCGTGTTTTTACACTTTTAACTTTAAATTTTATATCTTTACAAACTTAGATTAATCGCATCTCACGGTGTCTTTGGTTCACACATGTCACGATCTCACAGTTAAAACAAATTAATAAACTGATAACTCTCAATTTGTGAGAGTTATTTGTGGTTCAATACCCCTATTTTATTATGTCTTTTGTACCAATTTTGCTCCTATCCTGTATTTTTGGTCCAAAATATTTTAAGAGGTGATGAAAGGTCAAGAATTTGATTCTTTTCTGAAAAACCATTGCTATTGGTAAAATGCCCACTTTCTGCTCACATTCTTCTTACTGCATGTTTTCCTCAAGACGGATTTGGACAAAATTTATATACTGGCTCTCCTGGGTATTAAAATGATTTAATTCTGAAGTCAGATTCGAAATTCTTGAATTATTTGGAAGAATGAGCCTTGTTGAATTAAAAAATATCTTAAAGTAACTCTACCATTATTTTAATGAAAATGTCTTCCTTACCTTTTCCTTATTTTACGGGTTAGGTAACTTAACATTTTTCATCCTTTCAAAAAAGGTGACAAGGCCAGAAAAGTAGACAAGAAGTGATGGAGGGTCTTTACCCTCTAGTCAAGAATACTTTCTTCCTTTGGGCGAAGAGTTTGTTCGGTTCTCACTTTTTCACTATATATTGAAGCTTTTCTCTTATTTGGAAGACATCAATGAGTCAACCAAGCAACCTTGGAGCATTCACTCTCAACTGAAGTTATAGGACAGTAGAACAAGTTTAATTTCTGCATTTAATTTTATTTTCGTACTTAGTCTTAAATTCTCGCTACTGTGCCTTGTATGCCCGCTGTGGGCAACAGTTTAAGTAAAATTTTTCAAGTATTTCTTATGTATTTTTCTTCTTCTCGTTCCTTTATGTTTTCTAATTTTATTATGAGCTAATCACCCCTTTGGGTGTGAGTGTGAGTCAAACTTAAGAATTTGAAGGCACACTTGGGTGTTGCCAATTTTATTAATTCTTAAGCTTGGTCATTTAAGTCGGGACTTAAGCTCAACGCAGATAAG